AATTTGGAAGGGCTTCAGTAATTGAAACAAATAACAATTCTAGTTCATGGAATACTCTTCCCCTTCACACTTTAACTTAGTGAAATCACAATGACTACAAACTGCAAGAAGACTGTCTTGATCAATATGAAGATTTGGGCGAACATCGAGAATGATTTTGCTCTTGACAGTTCTGGCTGACCTACTTAAAGCCTTCCGCAGTACCCTCCCAATAAAATATCTTACTCATATACTGGTGATTTATGGTAACTGATATCATTTATTGAAAGAAAATGATTCACCACCGGCATCCCAGTTGGAGTCAAGGTGTCCCCGCCTAGTAAGTCGGTGCTGACCTCCACAACTTTCTGACAAAGAAATTGAAAACAAACCCATTTTCCGTTCAGTAATGCTACATTTTTAGCTGCGTCGTAAACTTATCCAACGCTAGCAGTAACACGTGCATCTACAAAACAGGTGAAGTGAAACGGCCTGCGCGTGGCTGTCGGCTTCAGTCGATTTCCTGGGTTATTTTATCCCTGCGTAAGATTATCACACAAGGCGATAGCCATGCCAGTTGCATCGATTTTCGAGATCTCCTTTTTTCCAAAAGCTACTGTCTTTAATGTGCAGACTTCCTTATTTACCCTCTGTAGTTTCCAATCAACTGTTTACCCAAACTTTTCCGTAAAAGGGGAAGATTTATCGTTCATTACTGATGGATTTGGGGTGAACATCGGAAAATAAGCTCTTCGCTCTCCAGGGGCCAATTTTGTTGGGGAATTAACAATAGAAGGACGATGTTAGACTGTCTCATTCCTTTCCTCAAAAGGCGTATAAAAGCTCCACAATGTAGCCTCGCTCCTAAAAAAGATCAAAAAGGTTGCATGAGACAACCACCCATTGGGGGACACCCACTTTGCCCGACCATTATGACTCTGCGTTATTATGACTCCCTGTCTGGTGACGTGCTACATTTACCGTGAGTTGAGCTTCGTTGGTTGGGTCCTGCTCGATGAGCTCCTTCAGGCAATCAAGTGTGACGCACTGTTTCAGAGCATTGTTTTGTGAGACTGCGTAGCTGCTCTCCGGCTGAAAATAAAGATGTAATTCAATTGGACTTGTCTTGGTCTCATAGAAAATCCAAAATACATTGATCGGAGCTTCCATGTTAATATTTTTCTTAAAAGTCATGGTTCTTCAACTTAAGAATCAGAAGGACTTTGCCTGAGGTCAGCGGAGAGTCTGATTTCTCGTTAAAGGTGAAATTCAGGACGGACTCTCGCAGGCTAGGAAGTTTAAAGGGGTACATCTGAGCTCTAGAGAGTGACGTGTCCGTCGTGGTCTTGTTCAAATTCGCTGTGGTTTTGCCGTAGTGCCAATATCCGAAGTGGTAGTTTGTACAAGGTTCCCATAGGATTTGGCACAGTGCTTTATAACTTTTATAATTCAGGTGGTGTTCTTCATGGTCCCTAGTGGTTAGGATTTCCTTATCAGCGACGGGGCTTTTGGGCTATGCTCACAAAATTTGTAGCGGTGGCTTCGGGCATTGTTGCGGTATCAGAAGCTGCGGTCTGCGGAGATGTCCCGATATTCAAAGTCTCAGTGGTTTCCGTTGTGGTCATCTTTGGGATGGTATCATCCAATGTGGTTTCAGCTTTTGATGACTTGGCTTCCGTCGGCGTCGTTAATTCTCGGTTCTGAGGCGTATCTGAGCAAGATTAGGAGTAACATTTATTGAAGACTGAAGAATTCGGATGTAATCGCGAGAATCACGATCAAACCTGAACCATTGGACAGCCGAGATCTGAGATAGACTGCTTAGTTCTGGCAGTCAAACGACAGTTGTTACTGTTACCGTTTTCAGTCGTTGTCACTGTCATTTCTGCTACTGCCATAGCTGTATTGTTAAATTCTGTCTGCGGGTGTACGTGTCATTGTCATAGAACCCAAACACGTGATCCAGGGGCGAAATTTAATTGCCTAGACCTATATAATAGTTCCCCTACCCGTACGAACAAGGTTTGATATGAGAGGAGTTCAAACAGGACCCCTGTATGCATGGAGTCTTCCTGGCTGGTTCGTACACTTGCAATGGACGTATCACTGGTTAGCCTCCAAACCAGCTTTAGCTGACTCAGTAAAGGGAAATGTCGTAGGCCTTAGTTCGTTCTCAATAATGGCAGCAATAGAAATGGCTTCTCGAGAACACAAGATGGCCGCAGTTGGTGACAAAATACATGCTACTGTTTGTGTGGTAAACACCAAGGGGCGGATCCAGGGGGCGTGAGGCGCACGCCCCCTTTTCTCACCAAATAAAAAAAAATGATTTTTTTTTATTAGATATGTAGAGCGCCTAGAATCAAAGATTTCCCTGGGCCCCACGTTGAGCGGGACCCTGACGCCACGCTGTAAGGTCTGGGCGCTACGCGCTCGCGGGCATTATCCGGTTCGTAAGTGTGACGTCACTTCAGTTTAAACCACGCCCACTGCGCATGCAGAGCACATATAGGGGTACATGCATTGATCGCCATTTACATGGAACCATGAAACCGGAAATTAACGCGCAACTTCAGCGATTGTCCAATGGGAGCCTGCGAATCGTGGCGCGTCCGCCTTTGTGACGAAGTCACTTACGAACCTGATACCAAAGAGTAACCAAATGTGACGTCACAGTGAACCAGAAAGTGCAGTGCAAACGAATGGAGTACGCGCGCGTGTTGGTTCACGCGCTGGTTCTCGCTGTAATGCCTTTTACACACTAATTGTGCCTGTGACGTGTTCACTTCGGTACTCTATTGTTGCTTTAGTTCACGCCCCCCCCCTTGGAAAATCCTGGATCCGCCCCTGAATGCACCTAGCAGCCACATTTTGTATATAAAAGAAAACACAGCCACAACCCTGAGTACACAGAGAGTGAAATTGGGTCGTTAACAGAAACAAAATGGATTAAATACAACCACGATAGTCATAAAACAGCAACGAACAAACAGATCGACTGATAGACGGACTGACCAACTGACTGAACATTACCCGGTTCGCTCTCGCATATCCTGTGGTTGAGGTCACTGCAATCAGCAAGTTCGAACTTCTTGTCCGTTTTGCGTAGCGCTGCACACGCGTACGTACGGTCAGGGTTGAACTGGATCCAGAGGTCGGCGTCCACCGGAGAGCCGTCTCCCCACTGGAGGGCGCTCTTTTCAGAATCCTGCAAGCCAAGTTCGACCGACAATAATCGTGAATAACTACATGTATACTTCAGGGACGTGGTCTTCAGTCGAGTATTGAAATAGGGCGCGGGACACGGTCGCACCGCTTGTTGACACGACGGTACTGTAAATGATGGCAAAGACCACGATGAAAGAAAAGGAGACGTGAAACCAAGGATCAAATGTGCAATGAAGCAGCGGCATGACGAAATGTCCTGGGCCCCCCCCCAAAAAAAACGAATCTGCAACTGCAAATTTAACGGGGATTATTCAGAGATTTAAAGGGGGGCACTCGGGGATAGAGGCATCTGCGGCGGGGGGGGGGTAATTCTTCGTCTGTAGAAGCCATCTTAAGTGGAATAATTACGACGCATCTTCTATATTTCCGACTCTGTGGAGTTCCATTTTCATAATGCTTTGTTTTGGTATAATAAACAATTTGCTTCTGCTCCATACTGCGCAAACACCCTTAAAGGGTTATAAACGCCCAGGCAAAGTGCTGGCAGTAGGCAAAAATTTAGTCTAGAGGGTGGGCGCGATATATCCAGGTCCATGATATCCAGGGTCAGTAGGCTGGAACAATCCCATCCATTTGAGGGTAAATTGCTATACAGAATGATACTGAGCTATAAAATGCTATTTACGAATTTTATCGTTTCAACTGCCAGACTTTCCCTACCTCAGTAACACGTAGCCCCAGCCATATGGGATCGTTCGTCGACGAAGCCATGTCCACTAGGTACCTGGACTCCTCGCCGCTGTTTACATACGGTAGATGGGCACCCTTGCGGAGGCAGTATTTCTTGGCTTCCTCCCAGCTCGAATTGCCGGGATCCCCGTCCAAGTAGCATGACCCCACGACAGCGGTGAAACCGTCCAGTGCACAGGTTACAGTGGCCGTCGATTGCGCGACAATCTCGAGGCCGGTTCCCTACCAGAATCAGAAACAAAATAATTGCAGACTCAGTATTTGTTATTTTTAGGAGATAACTGGAACGACGCCATTCGTATTTGGAAAGTAAAAATAAGCGTGGGTTAAATGTTGGCTTAAGACAGGTTTTTGCTTATATCTGTTAATTAGCCTGTTTTATTTAGTTTTTTGGGATTGAAGAAAGGTTACTAATCTCCAAATATTGTTTCAGTAAATATGGTTTATTACACGAAACCCTCACGACTATCTTCAGAAAACCGCCATTTTGAACTGAACTTCAAGGCACAAGCTATTGAAATGAAATTCAACGAAAGCCTGTCTTGTTGACCCTGTTAAGTGGTTGGTCTTGTAACTGATCTTTGTGTCCGGTTTTCTGGTCTCAAATAGGGCTCGGTAAAACTACAGTCTCTGTGCAACCTGTAGAGCGCCCTCTGCTGACTAAGAAGGACTGGCCTATTTCTAAGAGCAGCAGCCATTTTGGATTGCATACCTTATAGACACTGCTACACGCGGTCACTGTTACGCATGGCACATAACACACACAATTTGCAATACCAATACATGGTAAAGAAAAAGGAGAACAAAAACGTGTGCACTGTAACAGTTCAAGTTTATTTGGACGTCTGTTAATTGTTTTATCTGTACCGATTCCAGCGGTAAGCAAAAGGAAGAAGTTGTCATGAAAATTTATGTCGACTCGACGACGGTTTCGCATAACACCTCCCTTTGCGCAGCAGCTGTTAAGCTGTCCCAACCGCAGCTGTTCAATCGGTTAGTCGCTGCGTTGTTCTTTGCTTTTATTGTCTGGTTGTGAATTCGAAATAAATCACCCGCCGGTTTCTTTTTTCTTTCTTTCTTTCTCTTTTGCCTACAACCAGCTAATCATAAAAAAGGGAAAAACGGGCTTCGATTTTTTTCCCACTACCTGTTATTGATGGTAATCGCACACCAAAAACACCTGGCTTCAGTCCGCGGCGAATGGCACGATATTTTAATTAGGCCTATAGGGCCGTTTTTGCGGCTACTTTCATAATGACAAAAATTCCTCAAGTAAACAAGCTGGAGCAAAATGAATGCAGTTGACGACCCCGTCGTGAGCTTACGCCCATTGAAAAGGAACAAATGATACAAAGAGCTTGGATTTTGTTGAAAGATGTCCGAAAAATTGCCACCACAGGACTGGCAATAGCAGTGGTCATGCTTTAAAAAGTAAATAAGTCAATGAAACATGGATAATATTGGAAAAAGCACACTTCCAAGTGCTAATATTTTTATCTGCTTTTAAAACACCAATTAACGGTTACATTTGGCGCGTTCTTTGTGAATGTGGCCCTTGGTATCGTACTGCTGAGAAAAACAGACCTGGGTATTTGGCCAAATTATCTTGATCGAATGCAACTGGTTTAATTCTGAGAATGAAAAAGTGTTAGACGAATGTTCCCTTAGCTGCGCGCGGTTACCAGTGGAGTGACAGTGAACTCGAGCCTCGCAAAAACAATTTTCAAAGTATTGTTTGAATATTTATAAACTGTAATGAGAAACTGTTTGAATAGGAAAGAATTTAGAATTAATCTGTAGACGAACTAGGGGGTGTGCTCTTCCGTCATTGTCATTGCCTGTGACATGGAAGATGATATATATATTAACTGTTTTGCTGTTCTGCGATCGAAGAAAATATGTGTCATGTCATTATGCTAGACGAAGGCCGACTCCGCGTGGCAGTACATTTCTCTCCAGAAACTACTTACCCTCTTTGACATTCGACTGAAGGTTTGGAGGCTTACTCCGTTGCCTAAATTGCTGATTTTTTATTTAACTCTGGTGTTTGCATCCATGCATTTCTTGTCTCGTTTCCTTTCTCATTTCTATTCTTTTCGATGTTTGGATATTTTATCGCAAAATGCGACCTGCCAGCACAACGATGACCTTAAATCGATCATTTAAAAGATACTTTTAAAGTTCCAATTTTATGATGGCTTTTTTATTTCAATGATTTGTATGAGACTGTTGATTAAGAAGACAAATGGTGGAATATAGATTCGATAATCTCAAACAAGAAAAAATTTTCTGGACTTCTACAAGATTGACATTTTCTGATAAATCGTACTAAACCACAAGGAACAATACAGAGCTGTCAAAGGAGAGGAATATCTAGGTCCGAGACTTCTTTTCCCGAGCCTTGCTCGGCCAATTATATATCACCCTAGCCCTGAAGCCACAGGCTGTAATAAAAAGCTGGGCCAAGCACAAGTAGGCAGGTGCACCATCCATCTTCCATGAGGCGTTCTGACATTGCAAGGTGTGTTACCTTCTCGGAGCATATTTATATCTATTTGCCCCTACGTTATACCTATGGGCCTTAATCACGAGATGGCTATTTTACATCGTGTTCCCCGAATCCACTTAATTCATTAAACACTCTGAACAGGGAAAAAGCCTTACTTTGCAAAAATACCTATTTCATGTTGACATTACAGGTGGCATAATATTTTAATCCAAACGTAGATTACAAATTACGCCCAGTAGATTACAAAGATGTAATTTACCAAAGTGCGTCGTGTTGCTCATGCATAAACGTTTTCGAATTTTTCGGTCATATAGCTGACTTTATCCATCTCGATTTACAATGTCAACAAACATGTCCCATCCACGAAAACGTTGCAGTGTGAGATCAGTTTACATTCTGAAACCAGCATGACGCCAGTAGTCCGGGGGATGTAGGGCCCATAACTTCCCATTTGCAGTATCCTAGATACAGGTGTAACCATCTTAACAACAGCTATGGCCTGTGTAGCCTTTGATTAATTCATGGCAATCTTTCGCTACAATTATTAACACCACTTGATTACGATGCAGCGTAATGTCCTTAGCAGTCTGCGATTTACCGGTGTTAGGCCCAAACTTTGGAGAGCTATCTAAACAATATTTAGCTGCAATTAAAGCGGAGTTATACATTCTCCAATCATCCAGGTATATAACCCTGACTTAAATACCGGATAAGGATAAGCACCCGGCTACAAGGATTTCATACCACGCCTGGGTGTTTTTATAACATTCAGTTTCTCTAATTATACCGAATGCACCAAATTAACTGCTGGTGATTAATAATGTTGGTCATTACACTGACAGTCCCGGATATGAACTATCCAGTATCATTGGGGAGTAATAAAGTAAATAAGAAAAGTCTAAAGTAATAAGAAAAGTGCAGTTCGAAAGTTGCAATGTTTGCGCAGCTTTCTTTTTTTTGCATCAATTTATTTTTGAGAGCACAATTATGCTTGCACGAAATCGTTATTGAAGAGACATAGCGGGACAGCATGTGGAAAGCATATAGAAACACTCTGTATGTGACTATCATGTCGGTTAGTATGGGCGTTACCCAGATTTTTCCAGGGGGGGCAAACCACTTTTTTCCAAGGGAGATTTTCCCGTAAGGGAGGGCAAAGCACTTATCAGCTGAAAGAAAGCAAAATATACAAACAAACAAACAATAAATCGACAGCGGGTGGGTGGCTATTTTTTCATTTTTTTTTCATTTCTCTTGCTTTTTCCCCCCATTTTTTTCTTCTCTTTTGGGGGGTGGGTGGGGAATAGTGTAATCTGGGAAGATATTGAAACTTTGGGTTGGAAGGAAGAGAGAAGTCAAAAGCTGTTGTCAAGGATATCCCGTCTTCCATCTCTTGTTCAAACTACACTGTGTGTGACAGACTGGGCCTTGTGTTAATGGACTCTTCGCGCTATTTTGTAAAAAGGCAGTGGGCCAGCGTCCACCCACGTGCGTCCTCTTCCACCTTCTCGCCATGAGTTTCTCTACATGTGATAACCAAAAACGTTAGCGCACCTTCCTACAGCAGAGCCCTTTCATTTTGACAGCAATACTACTATACAATACACACAATGCATGCATTCGGGTCTGCAACACCACCCACGACTCTGTCATGGGAAAGCCGAAAGCAGACGTGTATAGTGTAGAGGAACAAATGCTATCTTCCACGATTCAGCCAGCGCAAAAGCGACATTGGCCTGAAAACCCATTAAATCCCCGAGCAACGTGTGGAGAGGAGATGTTGACAACGACCTCTAAAAGAACCCGGCTTGTTTGACAATGGTAAAGGTCACTCGAGGATGAGCCTCCAGAAGCAACTGCTAATATTTCATGTTGTAGTCCTGGCGGGCGAAGCCGTCCGACAGAAGACATTGGCCACTTTCCAATACTCAACTTCGTCTCCGTCTCAGGCTTCGTATAGGAAATCAATGCCCGATTGTGGGCCGAAGCGTTTAACTTATATTGAAATAATGTAATGTTTGGCTTTTTTTGCATCTTACTTGATCTTTTGTAGCACTATCAGACTTACTATTGCGCTTACAACTTTAAAGTCAGGAAGAAAAAAAAACCAGTTGAAGCCTGAGACGGAGCCCAAGTTGAGTATCGGAAAACGGCCATTGATTTACTCCTGGAGAAGCGACTATTATAGCGCACTTTAATCTACTGTGGTTTGTTGCAGCTGCTGTGGTTTTTGTTGTTCTTGTCGTTGTTTGTTTCCTTGTTGCTGTTGTAACTGCCATGCAAAGAAAACCCCATGACTTTGTATTTAGCAAATAGCGCAAGGGGGCAGGGTATTGATGTCCTAGGTAAAGAGGCGCTCAACGGGTCCCTTAACTTCAGAGTGAATTTGTTAACTTCTTACGTTACAGTACGGCCGGGCGATTCACAATAGTGCGCCTCCAAGAGTTGCGATGCGTTGGCCAATCACAACGCGCGAAATCTGTTGACCCTTTCCAAACCCGCATTGGGTTGACAGACTTTGTGCATTGTGATCGGCTCACACGTTGCAAACTCTTGGAGGCGCACTTTGGTGACACGCCCATATTCCCTTTCAGAAAGACTAGGTCTCTAACAAGGGGTCGGTCAACAAAACATGAGAGGACAAGGCGTGGTGTACCTTTTGTACCTCAAAAACTATAAGCAGAACAAATCAAAACAAAACAAAAAGCTCACT